CGACTCGTTTTCTCCTCAACCGAGTTTGATCAATTTTCGCAGCAACTTTATCCCCGAACGGAATTCCTATCTATTTCCTCGAGACGACCCGATTTCCCACGATCGGTTCCATCTTCTCAGGAATCTCCCGACGGCTTCCACATTAATCGCCGGTCCTATTGCGTGCGCGGACTGCAGCGTCGTACCAATCGAGTGGACGTTTAAGTTTCGAAGGCGTTTTGGATACTTTGAAAATCGTAACACAGAGAAAATTAGTGCCAGGCTCTCTGCGAGCAATAGAGAGTACAGAAGTATCGAAGTGATATTTTGGTCTAATTTAGAGAGTTAATTACCGTATACCTTCATTGTATTTAATTAAGTGAGATCCTTTCATCTAGCCTGCCTGTTCGCCAAGCTACGAGGAAATAACTCGACCTAATCTTCCACGACCCGGCTCGCTATCGCAAGAATCATGCATTAATCGCGAGTCATTACTAAAGAAGAACAAATGAATAATTAACGTGTAGGCTTAATGAATATTACAAGGGCGTATCTTGAGGTACTGCCGATGCAGCGCAAGATAAGGGGATGGTAAACAAAAAGGAATGAATTTAGTTGAAATCATTGGGTTCGTGGAGATTTCAAACGACTACAAAAGTGTGGAAGTTCCTCTTCTGCTCGTTTGATCGAAATTAAAAATGGTGTAAAACGTACCGAACTTCGGAGTTTAAAGATATGGCGAGAGAAGTGGGAGTCCGGAGAGATTGTTGGAACGTACATGGCCTTTTGGGTGCAAGGAGACCAGCAACATGGATGTCTGAGAATTTTAAAAGCGGAACGTCATTGAGGAGAAGGTTATCCTATCACAATATACAGGGAATAACTGAAAGGCACGGGCAAAGTTTGGGGGGAACATTCCTCACGCTCGAAGGATGAATTATATTCTTCCTAACGGCGGCCATTTTGAATATTACTACTAAGACCCATTGTTAAACAAACAGGTACAGTTTTCAGGGGTTAGAAAGAATATTCCAGCGAACCAGTTACAAAATACATTTAATATTCTCGATCGAGGGAGTCGTTTCGTCTGCCCCGGCCACCCCTACGTTTGACACGGGAGGGCAACAAACGGAAGTTTTTCCACTCCCCGTTTTAGTTGCCCGACGACGAAAACTCTCGAGCAATTTTCTCGGTTGACCGCGACCCGCACACGACGGCCTCAATGCGCAATCGATTACCATGGTCGAAGCTCGTGGCGGCCGATACCGGATACAATAACCCGGGCGCAATAGCCAGCCGTGCTCCTTTAGGTGTCAGAAACGGGGTCCTCTGGCCGGCAGCTCGCTACGTCCCGGCTTAAAGCCGCACACAAGTCACGTACCGGCATGGGACCACCAAGTATTATGGCGCGTCCTCTACCCTGACCAACCCTCTCTCCCAAGCCTTCTCTGGAGGCCCGTCGTACACATATTACCGGGCAGCGCGTATAATGTGGGCGCCGCTTGCACACCGAGCGGCCCGGTGTCACGCTACGTGCTTCCTGCCCGCAGGCCGTGGTGTGACAAAAGGCCTTATGTCCGCCCGCTCGTGGAACACTCGTGATCGCAATGTGTAATCAAGCTCGCATGGCCACTGTATTACCACGTACACCTACCGTGGCCCGCGGCCATCCTGTACGTGCACGAGCCACACGCGCGCGCGGGCCACCGCCGCCGCTTTCGGCCGGCCGTTTCCCGCGCAGGACGCGACCCCCCTTTCCACGATCGGTTTCGCAACCGAGACTCCGGGGCTATCGGCGCTCACTTTTCTACTCGATTCGTCTCGCCCGTTCCACGCGTCCACGGATCCTAGCCTAACCTCTACTCGACCCGGGTCTCCGGGGAGCACAGCATTTTTAAGGACTCCTCTCGCTTTACCGCTACCAAAAACGGATCACCTTTCACTATTTTTTACGCGCAAACTACGCTACGAATCTTCCTCAAATTTTACACACACTTCTATCCATTGCTTAACAATGTCGGGGAATTTTTATTGCTCCGATGGACTTTGCATATGCCTCCAGAAAAGTAACCAACAAGGGAGCAACTAGGAGCATTTCTTGTTCCAGTGTCCGGTTAATGAACGGTTCCTGAAGATCGTAAAAGGAATGTTCTAACCAGGCCCTATCATATTTGAGAATTTACGAGCCTCGTTTAAAGAGGGGAAAACGGATTTTCGTTTATTTTTTTTACCCGCCCAATTAAATGCGAGCCGGGGACGAGGCATAAAGTCGTGAACGAAAAAGACCAATGGCCCTGGACGAAGCAGTTGGCGCGCGTTGCACTTTTGGCAGTTGTCGACCCGCGCGTTGGGACGCAGCCTGCCACGAGTAACGTGTTTACCTAGACTATTGATCAAAGGGAGCGAGATCTTTGTTCGACGGAGGTGTGCGGGCGCTGGAAAACTTTGGGTCGGGGAGTGTCGGGAATTTTTGTCGAGTTTCAGGCGGATAGGTTCGGATGACGAGTGGGAGGGGTCGTGGGGGCCGGAAGGGAGGGAGCAGTACGCGTCAGGAAATTTTCAGATCGACTCGACTACCCAACGACAGGCTTTACGAGTTTACAGAATTTTCCTGCATTCGATCGTTCGAATTTTCGACGAATATAATTCGAATACTGTTTGAATAGTTGGATATTTTATACATTGATCGAAGTACTTAAATAGTTAATTTATTTTTATACTCAAAATTCTAAATTCATGTGGTATCAATATAATGTGTTATTAACCTCTAACAGAGATAAACTATTGAATAAAAAAGGAAAACTAGAGTTTTCTATGTCGACTAGTGTCATCTACAGAAACATTGTAAATTCGTTTAAAAAGAACTACGTACACATTGTTTGAAAGATGCAAAGGGTTCATGACAAAAAATACAAAATTCAAATTCATATGTGCGGTTTTACTCCGAAAATCAACAAAAAGGTTATTGAATCAGAAATATTCTATTTTTCATTGCATCGATATTGGTTTACGAGTTCGATAAATATTTTGTATATATAATGTTCAAATTTCGAGAACTTTTCAAAATGATTCTTTCAAGGCTTGAATCTTTAAAAAAAACTGAGAAAAACCAATTTTTTTTTATGTAAAATTACTGAACTGTCCTCTTTTTAAGTGATTACAACAGAGCGACGGAGAGAAGAATAAGCTAACGTTTGAAAAGTTTTATCAAATGCTTATCTATTACCAGTTTTGAAATTTTATAATCTGCCTCGACTGTGCTATCGTTAAACATTCAAAGAATTTAAAAAATTCGTATTTTTACATTTTCTATGTTGGTTCGATGTCAAGCTTCGGATTTTTTGTTCCATATGTTTGCATACCTTTGCTCATAATAGAAAATATTTATCAATAAAAAACAAAATTCAATACACTGAACGGTAGCAACTAACAAAGCTTATTTATTTTTATAACGTAGATGGTTTGGTCGCTAAATTCTTTATCGTCCTAGACAAATCAAACTTTTTTCATAAAATCTAATAAATCTATTATAATGTACGTATATACATTTGTAAATTCCTTTTCATCTCAAACGGAGTAGTTCGACTCGAACGGCCCTAACTTTCACGAATATGAAAATTTCTTCGTAAAATTCAGTACGTTTGGAGTTCGATATATGTACCGTTAGACGATACGTGAAAGTATTTAATAAAGTTGCAGAACAATTTAAAAGAAGAAAGTTCAAACGCTGGCTTATTTTCCAGCCCGTCGCCCTGTCGTAACCCTTTAATTCGACGAGAAATCGTGGATTCTCTAACGGCCCCGAGCACAGAAAAATCGACGCGGGCAATTTCTGCGCCAGTCGGGTCTAATCCGCCGCGAACAGCCGCCTTTCGTGATACCCGTTAGACCGAGGAGAAAACGTCGAAGACTTCGGTCCCGAGTGGCGGTAAGTTGAATTCCCAAACGGGCGGGTGTGGCGACCGCCCCGCAACGGGCACCGAAACGGATGCCGCTATCTCCACACCACCACAACTGCCCCGGTGCTCCTGTGCGTCCGTTTCCAACTTTTTCCATTCATTTTTCTCCGTTATTTTTCCCCCCCTCCCACCATGAACCGCGAGGAACGATTTTTTATCCCGGAGAAACGTTTCCGATAGAAACGGGAGAAATCTCCAAGAGGGCCAATTTTCTAAAGGAAACGCGGCAGAAAGAAATATCAAGGGAAATGGGTAAAATTATATTCCGTTAGCGGACGACGGATAAAAACGGCGATTTATCCGTTAAGCGAAACGAAATATCGTTTTGTAATTCTGTCTCGTAATTTTTTATCGAACCGATAACTCGTCGAGGAGTTACGAGTACTCGAAACACGTATCCGGATAAGGATTTTGCTAAATCTCCGGGAGAAAAGTAAACGTAACTTTCTCTAAAATTGGAATCGAATCGATCGAATTCCTCGCGGAAGCGTCGCGGAAAATCGTGGAAAAGTCTCTGATCGATCGCGACAGCCGAAGCGCGATTAAATCGATAGTAGTACTGTCACCGGGACGTCACAAAGAGAATTCCAACGATTTCCAAGCCCGAAATCGGCTGACAGCCACAGTTCGGCTCGCGAAAGCGTAACATTCGGGCTCTGTCAGCGTCGATCGAACACTTTCCCGGACCAACTTGTGACACTTTTTTTTTTTCGTACCGGAGAATATATTTCGGGTTTCGGGGCAACTGGACGCTCGACACTGGAGACCGTTTCGATCCACGAGGCGAAAAAATGCGCGCACACACGGGGACACAAAAGAAATTCGAGTCGAATATTCCGTTGGCATCGACGACGGCAGGAAGCAAGGAAAAAATCGTCGATCTCCGTGTATTCGTGGAACGTCGACGATTTCGCGAGCTTCAATGAGCCGTAAAACGGAACGGAAAAAAAAAGCGCAGCCGCGGTAACGCACGTACAATTACCGCCGTCTTTTGAAACGCGGAGTTATCGGCGGGACGCTTGTCACGCACCGTAGGCGAGAGGAAAAAAAAATAGCACTCACTGTTTGCAGTCGTCGCGACGATCCCAGGGACTGGTTCACAACAAGAAAAGGAAATCCCAACGGTTGCACATTCGAAAATTAAAAAAAAAAAAAACCAAGCGTGCTCCGAGTTGAAATATAATAATAAAAAACGCAAACACTGACTTGCGTAGACACGAATACTATCACCGACCTGTAGGAGAGCACCGGTAGCCAGCAGAATTCTGAATCCTCACGTATCCAGCGTGACGATCCGTGCGTGCCGCGTGTCCACGTTCCGAAAGTGTCACCTCCCTCTCCCGGTCGGCTTCAGGAGACGTGCACGAAGATCCGTGAAAGGAGGAAGAAGAGGCGAGAGATCGGGCGAGCCAGTCGCGGTCGGACGATGTCGGTGGCGCGCACTTCTACTCCGTGTTCCCTCTCTGTCTTCCCTTCCAACTCTTTCGTCTTCCTTTTTCTTTTCTTCTGGTTCCCTCGCAGAAACCACCAGCTAGCCGCGCGCACGTTCGACGTCGCGCGGCGGCAACGAGCCGAGTATAGGAAGAGAGCAGCGCGACGTGTCCGCGCGAGACGCGAAGGAAAGAGCGCGGGCGCTCCCGTGGAACGAAGGAGGAAAAGGGAGAGCACGGGCAGATGCCGAAGGAGCCAGCGCGCGGAGCGACGGCGGGCGGTGGGAGGAGGGAAACCGAGCGGCGGCGGCGGCGGCAGACTCGGTTGACTCGGTGGCCGAGCGGTATCTCACCCGCGAAAAGCGTCCCGCGATCAGGTGACAGCGGGAGTACACACCGGCGCTACCCGTGGAGCGAGAGAGAACGACTGGTAACGAAAGGAGCCGAACCAACGGGACGGATGGTGGGGGGCGCGTGGTGGGACGGCGGGAGGTTAAACACGCCGACGGGTCGGAGAGGGAGCACGCAGCCCGAGAAGGAGGCAATGCGTATGACTGACGGCACGAAGAGAAGCACGAGAAACTGGCCAAAGAAAAAGAAGACGAACACGGACGGCGAGGAACGAAGAGGAACGGCGTAACGGAGACGAGACAGCAAGGGAGATACGGCGGCGGTGTGCAGCGGGTACCCGTCGGGGTGGAATCGCGCGCGCGCGCGCGTCTCTTTTCTCGAAGGGGGACGTCGAGGGAGAGAAGGGCTCCCTGATCGCTTCTGAGTGCAAACGGTTCGGCGTGCGGTGGGACACTGGCAGGCGGGCTGAAACTGCTGTGGATAGCGGGTGGCGAGCGGTGCGATACTCCACGGGACGGGACGGGACGGGCCGAGAGCCGGGCCGGGACCCCCATCCACGGACGCACACAAGCGTGTCGCCCCTCGCGCGGCGACTCGACGCGCCGCGCCAGGCAGAGAGCGGGCCGCACACACAGCCGCGGCCTCGCACGGACAGTGAGTCAGGCAAGCGGGCAGACAGGCAGGCGAGCGAGGCAGCGCGTACGAGCCACGACACGTTACTACGCCAACGGCGCTGCCTGCCCTCGGCTGGATTCGGTCTCGCTCGGCCGGCGTTGGTCTGACTTCGCCGTCTTCGTCGGCCCGCCGTGCCTCGTCCTCCTCGCTCTCGGGCAACTCGTCTTTCGGCGCGGATCTCTCTCTCTCTCTCGCGCGCGCTTCCACTCCACTCCACTCCCCTTCGTCCCTCGCAGTCTCGTCTTTCTCCTCGCCCCCTCCCCCTCGCATAGCCGATTCTCCCTTCCGCAACCGCGCTCCCTCTCTTTTTATCCACGCTTCTTCTCCTTGTCTAGGATTCTCGTCTACCGCCTCTTTCTCTGTCTCTCTCGGGTGGTCCGTCGTCTCTCTCAGACGGTGTGCACCGCTCCCTCGGTCTCTTTTTCCGAGCGTCGGCTTCTCTTTGTCGCTGCGTCCTCGTCTGTCCCGTCCCTCTTCGTCGGACCCTCCGTCACTCCTCGTTGCGCCGTTCTCGCGTTCTCTTCGTTTTCCCGCCGTCCTTCTCCCGACCCTGTCGGCAGTCTCCGTCCAGCGCGCGCGCGAGCGAGCGCGCCCACACCGGAGCGGTAGCATATCGTAGGTCCGCCTGCCTACCGGAACTTTTCAGACACCGTCGAACGCGCGCGCGAGACAGAGAAAGAGAGAGAGAAAAAGAGTGGAAAAAAGGGGCTGAGAGAAGAACGACGGAACGCCGTGCTAGAGAGAAAGAAAGAGAGAGAGAGATAGAACGAGTGGGAGCCGCGATGCGACCGCGGGGATGTAACGGGTGTGGATGGAACGTCGGCGCGACGACTGGACTTGTTCACGAATTTTTTTCAGGTTGCCGAGGTGGAAATTGCTTCCAGAGAAATTGGATTTCGCGATAATGGCGCGAATCAGTTCCAGAGATTTTCAGGAAACCAAAACGCCGGGAAAGGAGCACGGAGGCCCGCCTCCCGCTCGATTCGTCCCGGTATTGGCGGCAGCTGTAACTTTCTCGATACACGCGAGAACTCGTGCGCGTAAACTCCGTCGTTCCGAGTTTAGGGATATCTGGGGACCGCCGATGCGGAATGAAATTAAATTTTTCTTGGAACTTTAACGCCACTCAGGTATGCCTGGTGAGGCAGTTGCCGCTGATGATGAAATCGATGCAAGCGTAGAGAATTCTTCTCGAGGCTCCGACGCTGTTTTTCATATTGCATCCAGGTGTTCGTTAAACGAACGACACCAATCTCTTTTTTATCTTTGGATAACGAAAAAGTAACTGGGTTCCTGTTCTGGTTGGGCAGAGAGTAGAATCCCTGGTTAACCATAGTACTATAACCCACGGTATGAGTGGGTTCACCGGGTTTAGCGAGCCTCTATACAACGAGTAACCCGACACTGCGGGTTGCTCTAGAAAACTGAGAACCAACCCGGGATCGGGTTACAGTTAGAATCCCGATTACGCGGTATCGGGTTACGGTTGGAGATCCTGTTACGCTTCTAATACTTATAAGACACCGTCAGTTTCGCTATCTCTTTCTTTGAAGTAGATTTACGTAATATCATCGTCGATACTAGCTGCCTAGTCTCATAAAGCACCAGTCGATGCTAGCGTTCGAATTTCAACAATTTCTAGAAGCCTTAAGAGACTTATGTCATTTATGAGCACTCCGTTCGATGGTATGCCGGCCTCAAGGATTCGTATACGTATATCTGGACACCGCCGTAATGGAATGGAATTAATATCTTCTTGGAACTTTAACGCCACCCACGTATATCTCACGGGAGCATTAGCTGTTGATGACGTGAATGATGCAAGCGTAGGATTCTTTCGAACAGGATAAAATCGACGAAGAGTGGCGGGTCGACGGTGACCCGCCGTCGGCTTGAAATTGCGTAACGAGGACCGCGAACCGTTGATCCCCGGCTCGATCCTGGGCGATGGTACCAGGAGATAGAGAATAATCGTTCGACGAGCGGGTCTGGTCGGGTGGTTCGGTCAGCGCAAAACGCGCGGAAGCTCGGTCGCTTTCGTCGCAGCGCTTCCGATCGGGGACAAGGCGCTCTCAGCTATTCCAACAAAGTATTCCGCACACAGAGCCGCGGGCGCAGTCGCCGGAGTCTCCGAAGTTGCCTTAATCTCGATCCCCGTCTCCCTTGCCCTCCCTCCTCCTCCTCCTCCTCCTCCTCCTCCTCCCCCCGTCACTGGTAACGACAGACTTTGAGGGTGACTTTGCGTTCGTGGGGAGGGACTGCGAGGGCAGCATCGAGACCGGCCGTGGAACGAAGGGGGATAGGTATAATCCGCGCGAAGAAAGAACGCGAGGGAGGGAAAGCGAGGAAAGGAAGGCGACGTCGGAGGGAGAAACGGGAATACCTGAGCACAAAGGCGCGCTCGAAATGGCAAAACGCAGGCGTCCACCGGCGAATACGTGGGACTCTGGGAGCCTGGACCCGCATCCCGCGACAACCAGGCGTCCCTTCACGCTCGACGCCGCTCGTCCGGGACGGCAAACGCATTCGTTTCGGGTTACGGCGTGATTGTCGCCTGTGAAAGCCGACCGATCTGTCCGCAGAAGGTTGCGGGGGAAGAGAACAAGCCGGGAGATGAACACAGTGGGAGGGCGGTACCCCTTAACACCGGGCACGAGGCAAAAAGGGGTCCAGCTGCGCTGCATCCTTGTCCGGGCTGCTCCGAAGGGGGTCCCGGAGATTATTAAAATGCTAGAGGGGTGGGGTACCGTTCTACTGTTACCGGGGCTGCGTGGCCACGAAACCGGTACACTCCCCTCATCTCCCCCTCCACGCCTTTTTCCCCTCTCCCTTCCGGGCAGCCTGATTCGGCATTCAAGTTCGACTCGCGACGCATGGGCCGCTGCATAAAATCCCCCCCCCCCCCCCCCCCCACAATGATACCAATCAAGTACGAGCCACCGAGCCTACCAATCGGGGAGGCTTCGATGCGCGGCGACAAAAATTTTCGGGGCTGATCCGACAAACGGCCCGTGGCTGCTCGAGAGAGATCCGAGTCGGGAGAAAGTTCGAAGGGAATCGGATTGCTAATGAGCGATTTTCATTAATGATCCTTCGAACGTCGAACTTTCTTTCGACTCCCCTTCCCGTTCCGTTCGAGCTCGGAAGGGCGAGAGACAGCATAATGGGGTAGTCAAACGATATGGCGAGGATAATCCTTCGCTAATTTTGACTGACCATACCATTCTTATCCGACTATGGGTATATTCTTATTATTATTGTTAAACGATGTTATTGTGCGCATAGCTTGCGCTTAGCGAGGCTTCTTTTCAACTTAGTCCTGTAAATTGAGATCGTTACCACTCTGGCAGAGTAATCCCAGATTTCAAGAGAATCGTGATTCTCGAATGTGTCAGTTGAAAATGGAGACTATCGTACCTGCGAATTATACCGTTTGAGGCTACCAGGTGCAAGCTACGACTTCCTGGTAAGACGTGGTCGTTGCACCTATAGTCAAATAAAAGTCGCATGGTCATTCAGAGTTGCCAAGAGGCTGTCCCCGCGATACGGTTTGACTACCCTGTCGTCCTGTGTTTCGTCACTTCGCGTCTTTTGAACAGAGAAGCGACGGAAGTGGAAGGAAAGTTCGATGTTTAGAGGATACCTCACGATTTCAGTTTATGCTGTTAAAACGATCCTGATTTTGTCGTTTTAAATTCAA